CCCCCTTTTCCACTTACAGAGCTAGGTTATTGTTTTTCTTTTAAATAAATATTCATGTAATTTTATTGGTATCTATCTTCATTTTGTACATTTACCAGTAGCTGCCTCATTTCCCACCCTCGGCTTATATTCGAGTCAATACTTTTCCCCAGTTTTTTTGTGGTAGAATTAGGTACCTCAGCTTATATTCGGGGCGGCTTATACTCGAGTATATACGGTAAGTGGCAAGTGCTTTGTGTCGCTGAGCCACTCACAGAGAGATCTTTGTGATCTCTCCACTGCCTCAGTGACTAAAAGTACGGTGCCCACTTTTGTGGTTTTGGTGTGATTAGGGTGTGTCCAGGCACACCCTGTGGTCATGCGACAGCTCGGTCCCCTCTTCTCGCCATTGCTTTGAGGGCTAGGGGCGGAGACACTCAGGAATTCCACAGGTATTTCTATGTAAATAGAATGGGGGGGAATTTGTGAAAAGTGGAGCAGCTAAAATCTGGAGCAGTTGTGCATGAGAACCAATCAGATTCTCACTTCAGTTTGTTCAGTTAAGATTTGAAAATGAAAGAGAGAAGCTGTTTGGTTGCCATGCAAAACTGCTCCAGATTTTAGCTGCTCCACTTTTCATACATTCCCCTCAATGTATTTCATAAAGGAACACAATATTATACACGGTTTTTGCAGACTATCATTTTGTGTGGGGGAGAGAGGGTTACTGACACTTTAAATTAAGAGTCCATCGGTACAAGTAAATACTGAAATATACAGGGCTCGGCTGCCAGTGTAACATGGGTAAGAGGGAACCTATGTGCATTCTGACTCCTCGTTGTATCGTATCATACATGGGATGGGATTGGAACCTCAAAGTGGCTTAGACCAACCGACTTATCGGCCACCCCGCTGCGCTCCCCAACATCGCACCGCTTAGTCCTTACGCGTTTCTAAGGTTACAGCGGATATGAATGAACTGCGATCCAGCACGGCTGACTCACTTGTCATGCAAGCCACGCCCCCACAGAGAGAGGCTGGGCATGGAGTTCAATGCCCGCCCATAGTCTGGAAGCGCTTTAGGCTTAGAGGACAGGGCAGACAGGGCGGGAAAGCCGATGCGCGCGCGAGAGGAATGCGAGAGCAGGGAGTGGGGAGGAGTCAGAGGGAGATGTGGGTGGGTTATCGGTGATAGCGGGGAGGATCGGTGATAGCGGGGAGGAGCGGTGGGCGGTGCTAGGAGGATAACGGGTAGTTTAGCTGTACAGAGGGGAGATCCGACCTTGGGGTGCGTAGTTTGCGGACGGTGTGAGGACTCTGAGCACCGCGCAGTGCGGAGATGTGGCAGCCGGCCAGCGAGAGACTGCAGGTGAGCCGAGGCTGCTGCCAGCTCCTGTGTTGGAGGCATTGCTGCGGCAAGGGGCCCAGGGCACAGGGGCTGCAGGCTGGGGAAGGAATTCCGTGCACGGATTTTTCTCTTCTCGTTATAGCGCTGTATACAGAAGGCAGAGTACAGATTTCGGAGGTTTGCCATGTACACGGGCCTGCTTCATTGCAAGATTATGGCTATAAACATCATTAGATGAGTGCTGGACAGAGGGGCTGCTGAGACATTCCATGTATTTTCTGCTGTATGGACAGGGCATAGTATTTGGGCACAGAGCATGGTACCTAGGATGTGTGGCATGACACCTGGATGGAGGGCATGGTACCTAGGATGTGGGGCATGACATCTGGATGGAAGGCATTGTACCTAGGATGTGTGGCATGACATCTGGGAGCAGGGCATGGTACCTAGGATGTGGGGCATGACATCTGGGAGCAGGGCATGGTACCTAGGATGTGGGGCATGACATCCGGGAGCAGGGCATAGTACCTAGGATGTGTGGCATGACATCTGGGAGCAAGGCATGGTACCTAGGATGTGTGGCATGACATCTGGGCGCAGGGCATGGTTCCTGGGATGTGTGGCATGACACCTGGGCGCAGGGCATGGTTCCTGGGATGTGTGGCATGACACCAGGGTGCGGTACCTGGGATGTGTGGCATGACTCCTGGGCGCATGGTATGTGGGAACAAGACATGACATCATAGCATAGGATGTGAGCATAGGGCATGGTGCCTGGTTACAGAAAGTGGTGTCTGAGCACAGGGTAGGGTGTCTGGGTACAGGCAATGGTATGGGGGTGCAAGGCAAGGTATATGAGCACAGGGCATGATACCTGGGCACAGCAGGGTGTATGTTTGTCAGAAGAACCTGTGGATTTAGGGAACACGGGGGTTAATTGGCACACAGTACAGAGGAAAATAACACAGAGTATCTGGGGGTAATGGTTTCACAGTACAAAGTTTTTTGTCTGATTGAATGATGTTGGACTGATGGGACATTTGTGATAAGAGTCCGGGCTGTATACAGACATCTGCATTCTCTTATCATGGGGAGGTCAGGCTTTGATGCTGGGACTGCCGAAGTCCGGACCTGAGAGGGCAGCTGATCAATGATGGACAGACCAACAGATGGTGAACAGACAGTCGATGGACATCTGCAGACAGGTATGCGTTTTGGGGCCTATTCACACTTAATGATTCTGTTGCATGAGTGTTATGACTAGTGATGATGAGCGTCACTTAAAATCCTAACTCTGTGATGGGGGAAAACAAAACCTTTACAGTGGCACCCCCACGCTGCAAGAGTTAAATGCTCATTTACTCTAGGGGTAGAGGAAAAATCTGTATTACAGAGAGTATATGTCATTCAGTGCTCTGCTCTTCTCCCTGACACTCTGGGTGGTCCCTCAGCATCATCACGTGCAGTGCAGGACTTTTAGTCCTGAACTGTATGGGAGGAAGTAATCGTGTGACCACAGCTGGGAGCCCATTGGAGAGGTTTTGGGGGATCAGTTGTACAGATGGAGGGAGCCTGGCAGAGTGAAGAATAAACTATTGTTATATGACATCTGATTACTCTACCTCTAGATATAACCAGCCCTTAACCATTGCAGTGTGTGTTTTGTGTTTTACAAATAAACATTGAATACATGACAAAGATTCTCAAACACATTGGGTTTGCTCAAGAGAGAACTCAACAGGAATCCTCTCCTCTCAGCTAGGATCTCTTTCACTATGAAATCAGACTGAGCTATTATATAGAGCAGGGGTAGGCAACTTCGGCACTCCAGCTGTTTTAGAACTACAAGTCCCATGAGGCAGTGCAAGACTCTTGACAGCCACAGACATGACTCCCAGTGGCGGAAGTGATGGAATTTGTAGTTTCAGCACAGCTTCAGTGCTCAGGTTGCCCACCCCTGATATAGGTAATGCATCATTGTGATCATTAATTTATTGATCAGTGTATACATATCAGACTGCGCTATTATATAGGGACGAGTCACTGTGATCAATCATTTAATGATCAGTGTATACATATCAGACTGCACTATTATATAGGAGACAAGCCACTGTGATCAATCATTTAATGATCAGTGTATACATATCAGACTGCGCTATTATATAGGGACGAGTCACTGTGATCAATCATTTTAATGATCAGTGTATAGATATCAGACTGAGCTATTAGAAAGGGGACAAGCCACTGTGATCAATCATTTATTGATCAGGGTATAAATATCTGGCTGAGCTATTATATAGGGGATGAGTCGCTGTGATCAATCATTTAATGATCAGTGTATAAATATCAGACTGAGCTATTGAGCTCTGTAAACAATGGACCTTTTTCAGTCTTTGGTAAAGGGAGAAAGTAGAAAATGTGAAGGAGACTAGAGCTCTGGCTGCATAAAACAACATAGTTCATATTTATTTGCCAAGAATAAGTCCTTTTTGTTTTTTCATCTTTTCTCTTTAGCCCCGATCATAGGTAAATCTACATAAACCTATAAACATTCCATTTAAGCAGTGAGAGCCCTTAGCCGCTGCAAAAGTTTTTGAATTGCCTAGAAAATTTTATTGCCGAGTGTGCTGGTACTAGATAAGCCATTGTCATTGAATGTCTTGTTTATTAATGGAACCCAGTTGTCAGTATAGTGAAGCTTGGCTTTGTGTCTGGAGTTTCTACAAGTACTTGTTATTTCTCATTCACATTAATCTGATACAAAGACTGCTGCTGAGAATCCTCCTGCCCCCAGTCAGTTGGTGACAAGCCGAAACCTAAAGTGACCCTTACCTGGCCGTAATGGTGCTAAAGATAACTGTGTCACTACTACGGTATGTCCAGGCTGTATATTGGGGTGCCGACACCTCTTTTAAATGCAAGGTTAAACCCCCCCCCTCTTTTTTTAGTGTGTTTGGCACCATATCCCAAGGTATAAATATTTTCTTAAAACCTCACTCCAAACTGCAATTAAATTCACCCGTCCAGTGGGGTCCCCTGGCTCTGCTTGGGTTAAATGCTCATCTGGCTAGGAGGGAAATGAAGAAGAGCAAATTCTTCTTCTTCCTTGTTCCCCCGACGGACGTTGCTGTCCTCTGCAGTCCCACGCTCCCAGGATGTAGACGGGTCCTCGTGGTGATGTCGGAAAGCTGTGACCGGCTGGGCAGCAAAGTGAAATGGCTTGGGGGAACCGGTTGCATGGAGACAAGGAAGCCTAGGGCGAGGCATAAAATATTTCATTTCATAAGGGGAAAACCCTTAGCCAAATGAACATTTAACCCAAGCAGTGCTGGTGGTAGTCCTGGTACTGCATGTGCACATTTAACAGCAGACCAAAGTGGGGCTTTAAGCAATTACAGTAAACTCCCCATTATCCGGCATCCACGAGGATTGGTAGATTCCGGGTAAATGTAGTTTCTGGTTGCTCGAGTTACTATTAAAAATGGTTTTAACTATAACTGTACCCCATACTATACCATACCATGAGCTCTGTATGTACTACATATTAATATTGAAATAAAGTAATCAAAAGCAAATTAAGCCAAATGGACACACTTAGTATTAGTGCTGTAATGCTGTGTGCACTGTGGCTGCCTGACATTGGGAATGGAGATCAGCATATTGTAATCTGAGCAATACAGTGCAGTACTGGGAGTGATCACAAGGTGGCGCCTGTTCACAATCCTTCACAGTATAATCTAGCACTTTTCACAGGCTATCGTCAGACACTCGTTCCCAGGACAATCGAGTTTACTGTATTTCGTGACTATTAGAGGTGCACCAATATCGATACTGGTCTCGATGCCGAGTGTTTGGACAAGTACTCGCCCAAATGCTCCGATGCCTAGCCCGACACTTCAGCTTCCGGTATCAGGAAGCTGGGCAGCGCGTCATTACACGCTGCCCGGTCACCTGATTGGCCGGGAAGCCAGTTCCATGCTCCCTCGTCACTTGTGTAATGACTCGCTGCTCGCCTTCCTGATTGTTCAGGAAACTGGCCAATCAGGAAGCCAGGCGCCGTGCAATGATGCAGCGCCCGGCTATCTGATTGGCTTCATGCTGCCTTGTCACTTCCTGACGAGGGAGCATGGAGCCGGCCAATCGGAAAGCCGGGGGCCGCATCATTACTTGCTGCCCGGCTTCCTGATTGGCCAGAAAGCCGGCTCCATGCTTTTCCGTCACCTAGCGATGAGAAGCATGGAGACAGCTTCCCTGGTAATCGGGAAACTGGGTGGTGAGTGTTTACAAGCCTCCCGGCTAATTAGAAAGCCAGGTGGCGAGTCATTACATGCCACCTGGCTTCCTTAATGGGACATTCGGTATCGGTGAATACCAAAAAACATATTGGTACTCGATACCGAAAAATCTGTATTGTTGCATCCCTAGTGACGATATTGCAAAGGTTTTTAACCCCTGATCATCCTGCCAGTGACAGAACAAAACCACTGCATTACAGTTAACACGGAAGGAGGGGTGGGCAAATTAATATGGAATTCTGTAGTCAGTCTGTCCAATCCAAGAGCCAGCAGGATTTTTTTTGTTAGGGGGCAAGTTCCACTAACATCTAAAAAAACCTCATAAGTTAGGTGCCAGCCGTAATTTTTAAGGAGCATTGGTGACCTGGGTCCTGGGATTTGTCCAGCCCTGAATTAGTAGTAGCATTGTCAGCCTGCTATGTCAGGGGTAAAAAGATCTCACAGTTTTTGACCAAGAATGGTCTATGACTATGAAAGTTTTTTCTTTCTTCAAAGACATTCGGATATCATCTTGTATTCCTTTACCTGTTCCACAAGGAATCTTTGGAACTATTTTCACTTTCAATACATTTTTTATTAAAGTGGAATTAAAGCAGGTTGAAAAAAAGAGGGCCCCCCTGGAGCTTTTAGCCATAATGTGCTTGAATGCACAGGTTTCAGGTCTTTGGCCACATGCGTACGGAGGTTTCTCAGCATGCAGAGCCCATGCTCTGAGCGGCACATGTG